GTATGGATTGTGATGAGTTGTAAGAGCCCCCAATAAAATGATGTTTTTAAACACATATAGCCATAATGCCTTCACATGTTTAAAAAATGATGTTAATTCTGAATATCTAGATTGCAAAATATACGATATCTTGCAATCAGATGGGATAAAACCAAACCAGATGATATGCATCTAGGGAAAGTGTAAAGTTCTACAAGTAGGTCCAAACAGTCCATTACATCAGTGCAGCCTAAAGGAGGCCTGGCTGAACAGCTTGTAGCACGGCCACAGTTGAGGTCTTGGGGCACTATGATCAGGGCAGACCTACCACGCCCCAAGGCTTTAAGACACACACTCTGAAGCTGACTTACCGGATACATCTTTCTTCATGAGAGGGCACACAGACAGGCAAACAGTGAAAGATACCCCATATTTTAATTAGCACTCATGTGACCCTCTTCTACCTATGGAGAAGTTCCAAATCGAACTCCATTGTGAACAAAACACTCACTCTCATCTCTGTTTTAGAATGAGCTCTGCTTCTTTCTGATCCCTGTGGGCCAGAGCTCGGATGGTCAATGTTACTTGTACAGCGTATCCCAAGTTTCATTTCTGCACTGCTAAGTTTCTGTGGCGCACATCCTTTTCCCCCATCAACTCCTGATTCTGGGGGAGGCTTGAAGGACAGCACACACTGTCATGGCACTGCAGGATGGGGCCGGAATGCTAGAGAGGAAAGGGCTGTGCAAGATGGGAATGTATTTTCAATTTAGACGACAAACTGAAAGTGATTCTATCCACCCACAAAGGCTTGTTCAAAACCTTCCAGTTATTAGAGTGAGCTGATTGTGGTCTTGAAAACACAATTAAAGGGACAGAAGGAAAACGTGATTTCCACAGCATCCTCATTAACATGAGATGTCAGCAATCAGGCAGGAGCAGGCTGTATTGAAGTCAGGTCTCTGAAGAAACCAGATACTTGAAGGCTTAACGTATCGTCCACTTGCCTTGCTTGGTAAAGTGGAGGGGCAGCAAAAGCGAGGCAGGCCCTCAATGAGATGGACTGACACAGTGCCTGCAACCAACGATGGGCTCGATCGGGCCTAGGAACAATTGTAAGGCTGGCACAGGACCGTGCAGTGTTCTGTCCGGTTGTGCCAAGGCTCTATGGGTCAAAATCAAATTGATGGCCCCTAACCACAGGAACAGCATTGCCACTTAAGGGAACACACTGCTAGAGGACTCGACCTGGCTTACTGGGATCTGGCTACTAGGGTGTGGATGCCCACTGGAGGCAAAACCAGCTGATCAGCATCTTTTCCTGAGGACTGAATCTACAACTTTCATTTCTTCAGGAATGCATTGGCTTTCCATTGCTGCTCTAACCAACTTCCACAAAATAAAGATGAGGCTTCCTGCCCCTGTAAAGATTTATAACCACAGACACCCACAGGAGTCAGAACCTACTGGGTGGCAGCTGGGATTGTAAAATTTTTTTATAGATTAGAAGAAGCCCACTTAGAATTATTAGAATTCACTCCAGGCACCCACGCAATTCAGAGGGAACAGTCAGAATCTCATTGACCTACCAACACTCCTATCTGTGTCAGTGACCAACATAATAATAGCTAACACTTGGTGAGGGGGTGGGCACGCTGAAGCCTTCGATGTGTGGTGTTTGCCTGCTCTCACTTAAATTCCCACAATATTCAGACTACCTCCTACAACCATTTCCCAGAGGAGGAACCGAAGTTATATGACTTTGTCATTTAGTTCTAAAAATTCACTGCCATCGAGTCAATTCCAACTCATAGCAACCCTGTAGGATAGAGTAGAACTGCCCTGTGGGTGTCCAAGACTAAATCTTTACACGGCAGAGAACCTGACCTTGCTCCTCCGTGGATCCTGCGGTTAGCAGCCCAGCATGTCACCCACTGTGCCCCGGAGCTCGTCCCCGATAAATGAGCTGTGCTCACAGGGGTCTTTCTGGCTGGGACGTTCCGTGGTTTTCATTTAGCCACACTGGATTTCCTGATTTCTTTTCTTTGCAGAAGGTCACATTTACTCCCAGGACTCTTTGCACCAAGAGTTTTCAGGATTAAAGCTTAAAAGTCTGAACTACCTAATTGAAGAAAATGTCAAGTTTAAAACTGCTGGCCTTCTCTCTTCTCAATTGGCCTCCCAAAAAAACCCTTGGCTGATGAAGGAATGTTTTCTTGGCAACTTGTTTGTTCCACCAACTAATCAATCAACTAACCAACCAACCACCATTCTTAGCCAGAAGATGTGGAGCTAAGCATTTGGTGTGCTCTAAGGTCAAAGGGGAGAGAGGTCTGAGAGGAGGCTGAATGAGAGAGACCCACTTGGAATGATGACAGGATGTGCTTGCGGTCAGGAAAGGAACTGGGGATAGTGCATCTGGTGGGAAGTTACAAGCCAGACCAGGAGAGGAAATGCAAGCAAAGCAGGACTATTGTGAAGACAGCAGTTGCCTGCACAATATTTTTTTTCAAGAAGTAGGGTTGCATTCATATCGGGTGGGGCCTGGGCAGTGGAAGTTCACAGCAGAACTTGGACCTCACGTGATAGAAACTGGGCGCTGAGCTACGAATGAACACCATCGATTGGTTGTGAGAGCCGGTTCCAAATATTTGCAAATTGCCTCAGCACTGATTCGTTGCTTGACTTAAACTTATTAAAATAATTACTGTAGTTCTCAGTTTCTTTCTTTCTTCTTTTTCTCTTTTTTTTTAGGCAGAAAGCACGGAGGCTCTCATGAATACGGCGAGGAGCCAGCCCTCGGGAGGGAGTATTAAAATTAGAAATCTCTCTTAAACATGATTTAACATGAACAAACATCAAAGGCTTAGGAGCTGTGATTTGGGAATGATAAAACAGGTAGGTACAAGCAGCCTGGAATGGAGCAAAGATCCTTATGTAACTTCATGTGCTGGGGGTAGAAAGCCCCAAACCTCACGTTAAAATGCTATGGAGAACCTGGCTGCTACCTTTGACCAGAAGAAGAGAGAAATCCAAGTTTAGAAATCTGTGCCCAATATTAAGCTTGCCATTGATATCGTCTTTTATTCATGTCTATTTTGTTATAGTCTCGAAGGCTTTCACATTGCCCTGTTCGCAGCTGACATCGCCAAGGCACAGACCGAAGAGCGAGGCGCCTGCATTTCACGGCTGATAATCACACAGTCAGGCCAATAACAGCATGCAAGGGGCCCTGCTCACCTCGGACACTTCTGATGCTTTATCTTCCAACATTTCCAAACAGGATGCAGTCTTCCTTAAAAGTGACAGCAAAACAGACAGACAATGCTCTAGGTATCTTCCAATCCCAAGCCCTGGGAAAGTACCTTAAAACTATATTTGAGTCCCAGGCTATCGGCTGCCTTCTACTTCATCCTTACCTGCGAGCAAAGATAGCATCAAGGTGCAGAGAAACCACAGGGTGGGACTTGTTGAGGTTTCTTCCAGAATCATCCTGAGGGTCTATGTATGATGGGCTGGAATATTATTTCCTGCTGGGAGGCCCCGTCCTTTCCATCCCAGCTAGCCTTGCTTCAGAACACCAATGTTAGGGCTGAACTGAGTCCTCGTGGAAGCTGGATTGTTCCAGAAAGAGGAGCTAGACTGGACCGCCCAGAAGGGGCAGGCAGTACAGCATTTTATTCTGTGCAAAGCCAGAAGCTGCAACAAGGGGAGTGGCCTAGGAGCGTTCCTGAAATGGTAACTCTGCAGAGCGTGAAAAGCTACCAGAGGGAGACACCCAGACCTCAGGTCCTGGGTGGAGCAAAGGGTCCTGGATGCCCCAAGAGGTCCTCCTTGGAAGTGAGCAGGGACGGTTTTCTCTCTAGACCCTCATCAGCCAGCTCT